TGGGTGTCCAGGGCTGGGGGTACCGCGCTCAGAGCCGGCCGCTGTCGCCCCGCAGGAGGAGCTGCCGCTGCCCCTGGAGCACTTTCTGCAGAGGATGGCCCGGAGACCCCGGCCCCAGCAGTTCTTCGGCCTCATGGGCAAGCGGGATGCCGGTGAGCAGGGTGGAGGGCTCGGTCCCTCTCACGCCCCCCTCCATTCCTCTTCTCCCGGTGCCGCTCCAAACTTCACGGCGGTTGCCACGCTCGGTTTTGATTCCTTAAACCTTTCCCGAAAGCTGCGATGGGGTTGGTTTGGTTTGGGGATGTTGGGGTTTTGCTCTTTTTTGGTTTGGGTTTGTTTTAGGGTTTTTTTTGTAAGTTTAATATCAGATAAATTCACCGGTCAGAAAAGAGCGGGCTCACGTTAAAGTGGTAAGTGCACACCAGTTACAGCACATAAATACTAGTGAGGAATACCACGATAATTTACAGGTCGGCATATGCGCCACTGAATTCCCGAGTGTGGAAATCGGTTGTGTAATACAGGTATTGCCGTGTTTTCTACATGTTTACTGATCCAAGAACTGATCTAAGAAATTGGAGTTAAACAGATCTAAATTGTGTGGGTTTAGCTAAAACATGTTTTTGTAGTCCTTTCAAAGAGAAATATAGCTGGAAATAATCACCTTAATTTCCCTTAAGTGGATTATGCGTTGGGTAGTTTCTGTGTTTGATTCTTCGAAGCCTTGCAGTAGCATCATATGCCCATGCCAATCGTTTGTCAACAACTCTTCTTCCTTTTTTTCTCTTTCCTCTTCCAATTAGGATATGGCCAGATCTCTCACAAAAGTAAGTTTAAAAAATTGCAAATATTATAAGCAATTATTAGAAGATATTCAAATAGGGGAGAGTGTATTTGAGGGGATTAGTTGGAAGGTGGACTGGGTTCAGCTAAGGTCTGATAGCACCGATGGTGGAGGAATGTTCTGTTAAAGGATTGAATCCCCTCCCCAGCACAGCCATGAGCCTGTACCTCGTCTTAGCTGCCACAAACTCTGAGATTTCAATCCGTGTTAATGTGTGGATGTTGCAGCTCTCTCTTATTTCCCATGGGGGGGATTCTGTAAGCCTTTCTCATAGGCAAGGCAGGCTTACTGCCAGACTCGGAAAGGAGCAATTAAGATGGCAAAATCTGGAAAATTAGAATAGTGAATTCTTAAATCCCTGAGAATGATTCCACAGGAGAGCCCATATCACTGCATGCACGATACTGTATCTGACAGCCTTGTCTGGGTGGGAATCAGACCCCCACTCACTGCAGGGGCTGACTGATGATGTGCTGCCATATAAACAAGCATATCTTGCTCCATTAATAAGTGTGCCTTGCTTTCCTTCTGTGCAACACTGAGCAGGATGTGGTGTCAGCAGTGTGGTGTTACTTTGTTCTGCACAGTGATAGTTTTATTCCCTGAATTTATCTAAAGATGCTTAGACAGGAGCCGGAATACTTTTAATAAGGAAAATTGCTATTGTATTCTGTGAGACCTCCTGTGTCCACAGAGGTCAATAACTGTCACGGTGTTCTGCTAGCCACAAGATTTTATCACTAGGATTATGTATTGGAAGATCAATTAAAGAGTTGATACAAAGCTTGTGCCAAGTAACCTGCTGACTAAAGTAAAAAGTTACAGCTTTCTGAAATGGCTTCGGCTTAAAGTAATACCTGTGAGGTCTGAGGATCATTTGTCTTGCTTTGTAGATTAATTAGCCAAGCAAAATTATTTACAAAGAGAAATTTCTAAGCTTGCCTCAAAAGTCAGCTTACAGAAAGAAGAACGGCTCATTTTCATTCCTTTTCTGAAACTATAGCTACCTCTGTATCTGTTACATGCTGTAGGTCAAAATTTGGGATAATTTATCCTCTACACATCCATTGCCTTGAGGAGTACTAATGGGACTGGAAGGTAATATCTGAACTCATAAATATTCCAAAAATAGAGCCAGCCTGTCTAGCTCAGACGTGTCCAGACATAGAGTCCCATTGGCTTCCTCTCCAGTAAGGGCTCTGCCTGACCTGCAAGGAAGATTTCTCTTCCACATTACAGAAAAAAACACCAACAGGTAGAAGACATGCATCACACAAATGCAGGCTATACCAAGACACCACCTTCTTGTGCATTTGCTCAAATTAATAGGAATTGTACTGGTAGAAGAGTAAGAATTGGTACATTGGTGTTTTTCCACAGTACGTAAAACAAAACAAAACAAAAAGTCCAAGTTCATGAGAGGATGTCCGCTAACTGGCCTGTGCCTTGGTCTAACCTGTTCAGTCTGATTAGTCAGACTGATGTTCATTCTCCATTGTCTGAGAGTGTTGTGAGCAACTAGTCTGTGAGATGAAGTTTAGCAGCCTGTGTCTTCCTTCCTTGTGAGAACACATTATCTCAAAAGCCTGACTGTTTAAAATGTGTTAAAACACCTCCAACTGTATTTTTTCAGGGCATAAAACAGACTCCTTTGTTGGACTTATGGGCAAAAGATCTTTAAATTCTGGTATGTATATAATCTAATCATTCTATCGCCTCTTTGTTATCTTCTAGTGGATGGAAGAAGCAGTCTTTATGTAGTGTAGCCCCAGAGTTCTCTGAAAAAGGATCAGGATTTCGTTTGTTAATCAAGATATTTCAGAGTCTGCTTCACTCCAGTGCTTGAGATGATCAGGCTGGTCTGAGCTGCAGGCAAGGTCCGGTAGAAGTCCCCAGGGTGCTTTCCTTACTTAGAAAAAACTGAACTTCACTGACACATCAAGAAAAATTGAGAGGCTGAAAATGTGAAGCTCATTTAAACTTATGATCCAAATCCCCTGTGTAAAGGGATAGCCTCATCATCTCTGGAGATCATTACTCCTCAAACTTGGAGCAGAAGGTGGAAGAGCAGAGATCTGCCATTAACACCACCTCATTCTTCAGGTCAAGCTGTTAAACATTCCCAGCCTCTTCCAGCTTTTCATTCTTCCTAAAAAAGAAATAGCAACACACATTTTAAGCTTTGAACTGATACTGTGAACTTGTGTTATTTTACCATAGCATCTATACAGAGCAGAAGCCTCCTCCCTCGTGCAGAGCCCCTGTGGGTAACTGCAGACTGCCAGTAGCTCTAGTTTCCCTAGGCTGTAGTCAGGAAATCCCTCACTGTCAACCATAAAGTGTCAGTTAATTCCCCAGAATAGGAATTAAAAAAGTAAAAAACCTAATACGTATTTCATGTCTCTGAAATAGTTCTCACTGTTTTGTTAAATGGATGATAAAAGTTAAATTACTAGCTGACACCTTTATATTATGTGGATACACGCTGTGATCTATATTCTGCAATTATGGTTGTCAGTAACTTTTATTTTCAATTAAACCCTGTTCAGACTAGTAATATTGCTCTCTGCATCATTTTGCAAATTGCTATGTATCATGAATAATTTTGTACAATTTTATCTGTGGTGGCAATAGCTATTAAATGCACAATACCTGTAAATGTATCTACTATCACAAAAGTAAATAGCCTAAAAAAAAAAATTAAATTGGGTTTGGTTGCCATTGGGGTTACATTTACATTAATATGAGAACGTAACATACAGCAAATGTTTTAAAAAGGCTAAGATCGTATTGCCCTAATTTCAAAATTGCTGGTATAGTCAGGATACTGTTATGTAGTGTTTGTAACAAAGGAGAATAATGAAGATCTACCTACCCTGTCGGGCTATGTAATACCTGCCTGACAGGTAAAACTAGAATTCACTGCTTTTCCACCCGATTCCTTGAGAGGAAAATGGTAAGAACTTGCTTCTGCTCCTAAGGACTGCATAATAAAAGCAAGATCAGGAGTACGTTCTAGGACTGTCCTTACTTACCCCTGCTGAAAGATATTTAACTGGACAGGACCTTTTCTTGGTGCCATGGTTTTCTTTTTCTTCAGAAAGCCCCTGAGTCCCCTGGCAAAGCATAGGAGTTTACACTGCCCTGCTGCTGAGTTTGAGCGCAATATTGGTTTAAAGCCTTGTTTGACAAAGCAGGGTGCTGGGATGCTGGTGTCTCAGTCCCTGGTTTGGTAAAATGGGGTCTGACACTGACTGTCTCCCAAGCTGTGCAGTCTGTTGGATGAACGCTCCAGGTAGAAGCTAGAAAAAAGTCACATGTACATTAAAGATACCATAACAATCCATACTGAGAAAGAAAGCTCAACTCCTTTTGCATTTAGCCCGATGAAAATTGAGGTCTTATTAATTTAAAACTGTCACTGATCCAAAATGTCAGCTCCCTGCAGGATGCTGTGCTGAGTCCCCCCAAACCAGCTGTGTGTTTGCATGCAATAGCCAGGCATGCATACGCTCTGTGAAAGCAATCCTTCCTTTGGGGTGGAAGCAAAGATGATTCTGCTGACTAACTACATCACCCTAGGGCCAGGGTCTCTGGGTTTCCCTCTCATTTTAAAAGAGCAAGGAGAGATCTACTGCTACTAAACACTAAATATGTTACTGAAGACTATTTTAGGCTGCAGTTAGTCCACAGGGTGGTCTGAGGTTTCCTTAGCTCCTGCTGCAAATTTTAGTAAAAGGTATCTCTGTGTGCAGGGCTTGGGAACAGGGAGGTTCTAAACCTGGAAGAGCTGACTGCAGGACAGAAGCTTGGTGCAGAATTAGATGGATTACTGGGAAGTAAAGAGACTCTGAGTTAATGGTGCATTGAGCAGCTTGATAGATGAGAGGTAGAAAGCGCTGCTCGCAGAGCTTTAGCCTCCTGGAGGATAGTGTAGTCTGAGGGGTAAAACCAAATCAAAGCAGCTCAGAGTTGGGCAGGGAGCCCTCATCTTCCAAACACTCCTCAGTTCCAAACACGCTGATGGGGTCTGGTGGTGACCCAGCAGGTTGCAGGTCTCTGACACTTCCTTGTGCTTGTTGGGGTTTACACAAGTCTGCACCATGTGCTTCATTCTACTTCATTTTTTGCAGGATCCTCTGAAAGGAGCATAGCACAGAATTACGAACGGAGGCGTAAATGAGGCATTCCCGTGCATTATTTATTAAACTTCATTTGTTCCAATGGCCAATGCAGTGTAATATAAACTAACCACTCTACGGAATAACTATTTATTTATTATTAACCAATTTTTTAATTTATTTTTTTGGTTTTTTTTTTTTTTTTTTTTTTTCTGCGTTGTACCTTCAATAAAATTGTTATTTTTCATATTGTGGCAGCGATAGATCTTGTGTAGGTGCGTTGTGGTTCTGAAAGAACCAGCAGCCCTGGTGACGTCTCACAACAAAGCACATTGATATGGCCTGTAAAGTTATGTTCACTAACCAGAGAAAATATTCTTTTGTCATTGAAAGTGAGTCTATCAGCTTCACAGCCAGTGCAGAACAGAGCTGATGTACAGTCTAGTGCCTCAATTTGTTTTCATGGTTTATAATGTACTGTAATTTCCGTATCAAAAATATATTTGTATCATTGCAGCATGTTTTATGTTTTGTGACTACGTATCTATATATTTTAAAAAGGGGGGTGGGTAAGGTTTGAATGGGAATCCAAGGTCTTAATTTCACAGTCTGGAATTTTATGATAGTAACATTTTAAATAAAAATTACTCTGGGGATTTTGCAACATACTTTCTTTGGTGATAGTTATGGAGTTATTTCCCATGTTGGTCTGGAATGAGACTCAGATTCATGCAACAGTGGTCTGAGACTGGAAGGAAATATCAAATTCTTCCTTTTTCAGGGAGGCTGTGAGACTCCTGGTGTGGGTTTGGCCAATATTTGGGGGATTTGCTACTGGAGACAGGCATTCCTGGGGTTGCTTCAGGTCATGTGAAATGCCATCCATCCTAAAACCAATGGAAATCAAGAAGTGTGTTGACTGTATGAAAAGAGCACGATGTATCCCCTACCTCCAAGTAGAATAATTTGCCATGCAATTCATCCACTATTGAAGGTTTATTATTTGAAAGCCAAGCTTTTAATAAATTCTAGCTCTCAGATTCACAATAAAAGCACCTGTTAGCTTGAAACCATTCAATAGAAGAGAAAAAAATGTGAGTGTAATTATCTTTCTAATGAAAATATCTGGTTACTATATTTCTAGGACAGTCCCAAAATGCTACATACATCTCACAGAATGCCAAGGCATCTATATTCTTTCCACCTGCTAAAAGCTATACTTCTCTGTTTGATGCTATCATACAAGCTTTCAGCATAGATGAATCAGCAGTGAAAACAGCCAGCGTATACAAACCAAATTTCAAAGTAATACAAAGTGATTAACTGGTTGCTGCTTTCCATTTTGGAAGTGAACTCGACAATCTCCATTTACAAGTTTACCTGAGGTATCCCCACAACTGCACGCATTAAGACCAGGTGGGCATAGGACCTCCCTCCTGCTAGATTAGAAGCAGCACCTAAGCCTGCCCATGCTTAAAACAGACCCCACTTCCAACTAAGTAGGAGCAAGTTCTAGTGAGGTGGGGGGACTACACATTGGGAAAACTGAGGCAGACTTGCGACAGGGACCACACTCACATGAAACGCAGTGCTTGTACTGCCACTCTGACAGCTCTTCATCTTGCCGGGGCTAATTTTCAGACTAATAAACTTCTGTATGAGTTCCCACTGTGCTGAGTGAGGGGGGAAGCTGATTTCTGGGCTAACAGCATGGCAAAAGAACTGCGGAAATTCATGTTGAATAATGCTCAGCGAAGGGTAAAAAGAAATAAAAACCTTTAAAACGCTGTTCCCCAAGCCTGGAGGCCCACAATGTTCCCAGAACATGCTGAAATGTGAGACAGAGAGAGGAAAGAAAAAGCCCTTCTGCTCCCTCCCAGCAGCCTGCACATCTCTCAAACCTCCCCACAGAAGCAACCACTGCAAACATATTTGCATCCAGAGAAAGCCACACAAGACAGAGTGGGCTATAAGCGTTTAGAGGACAGCACAGATATTAGTTCACAGCATCTGGCAAAGGTCTGGGACTGAATTTTCTGGCAAAACCATAGAATTATAGAATGGTTTGGGTTGGAAAGTACCTTTAAATATCTTCTATTGGTCAGGGATATCTTTCACTAGATCGGGTTTTTCAAGCCACATCCAACCTGACCTTGAACACTTCCAGGGATGGGGCATCCACAGTGTCTCTGGGTAACCTGATCCCAGGTTGTGAGATCTGATCTAAATCTACCCACTTTCAGTTCAAAACTGGTGCTCCTTGTCCTATCTCTACAGGCCCTGGTAAAAAGTCTCTCAGTCTGTTTTATAAGTCCCTTTTATATACTGGAATGTCACTATAAGGTCTTCTTCAAGCCTTCTCTTCTCTAGGCCGAACAACCCCAACTCTCTCAGTCTTTATTCATAGGAGAGGGGTTCCAGCCCTCTGACAGTTTTTGTGGCCCTCCTCTGGACCCCCTCCAGCTGGTCCACATCTTTCTTCTGCTGAGGCTCCAGAGCTGGACACAGGACTCCAGGTGTGGTCTCACCAGAATGGAGTAGAAGGGGAGAATCACCTACCTCGACTTGCTGACCACACTTCTCTTGATGCAGCTCAGGATACAGTTGGCTTTCTGGGCTGCTGGCACACACTGACAGCTCATGTCCAACTTTTCATTTACCAGTAACCCCAGGTCCTTCCCCACAGGGCTGCTCTCAATCCATTCATCCCCTAGTCTGTACTGATACTGGGGATTGCTCTGGCCCCGGTGCAGGACCTTGCACTTTGTCTTGTTGAACTTCATGAGTTTTGCATGGGCTCACTCCTCAAGCCTGTCAATGTCACTCTGGATGGCACCCCTTCCCTCTAGTGTATCAACTGCACCACCACTGTTTTCTCTAGAAGGAAAGGCCTTCAGAATATTCTCTTGTTACATGGCTGTCTGATGAGTGGTTTTAATTTGGCATTTGAGACAACTCATTTTAATTTCCACTGTCAAAATAACATCACATTTGCGTTAATTTAGGTTTTGAACAATTGGATTAAAATTGACATTGATTTTTATGTTTACATAGACATACATACCAAGCTAGAAATAAACCACACACCAAAAGGCACAGCCTGAAATGACCCAGTCAACTCTACCAACAATACAAAAAAATCCTTCATCATATTTCAGTGCTGGAGGGGACCATTTGGTCGAGCTGTGCCATGCGGGGACTGTGAGGCCATGCCTGCCCAGTGGGTCTGGGGCAGATGTGGAGGTACAGGAATCACACACACCTGCAGGTGTCCAGCCCAGCAGCTGCCCATCCCCACTGCGGGCTCACCCCTGCCACCCTCATAGCCCAAACGTTTGTCCTCACAGGCATCTTGGGATCCTGGAGACTCAAACAGGAATTCTTACCTCTTTTTTTCAGTCTTTAGTAGTAAGCGATATAGTCTATACATTATTGAGTACTTCAAATGACTTTTTAATCATTTATATGGTCTTTAATCTTTGTTTTGAGGCTCCTTCAGCTTTTAAACAGCTTGGACAGCATTGCTTGCAGCCCCAGGCCAGTCATGCCTTGAATCTCTGGGTGATCCCAGCTCTGCAGCTCCACTGCAAGCTCTGGAGAAGCTTTCACTAAATCCCCTGCTGTCTCTGCAACAGCCGGCCATGACCGTGGCACAGACTTACCTTTTTTTGGATGGCAACAGTCTGACATCCTTCAGTCTGCATAAGCTAATCGATAACACTGCAGCAAGGGCATCTGTCAGTGAAATGCAAGTGAGCTTTAAATAAAGCAATAAAAAATCTTTCTAGGAAATCATCGCAGAAAGTAAACCCAGGGTGATGCTGGTAATTGTCCCCACTGGGGAGGTACTACAGGCAGTGTGACATCACAGCCTGCCTCCAACATGCTCTGCCCCCTTTTTGCTTCTCTTTTCCCCCAGAAATACATCATTCATCTGCATCATGACAGGCAGCTGCTCTTCTGGTAGGCGCTGTCTCCCTCACACACAGGCACTCCTGTTCCCCCAGATGGGGGATGCTGGAGTCAGGCTCTCAGCAGCCTGCCTTGCCCAAGTGTGACCCAGAGGACTATCAGCTCCATCAATCATCCATCTCTCTGCCCTTGCATGGATACTGGTCCTCCATTGTGTAGATGCAGCCAAACTTACCCTGGGGAGCCAGAGCCACGGTGTACACAGTCCCCCACGAACTGGGGAGCCGTGAGAAGGGCTGGCTCCTCTGTACGCATCTTGCCAGGGAAGCTTGGGTTGTGCAGTGCTTGCCCACACAGTTGCCACGAGCAAGTCCTTTGCTGTGTTCACATCAGGAGGCTGTTGTTTTTTTCAGCATGGTCCTAACCAGAAGAAAAGGAAGAATCTAGAAATGTCTGAGCACAGAGATCTTTGCAGGAACCCAGCCCCCAGCCATCATTAACTAGAGCAGAATAACATCAAGAGGTTTTTAAAAATTATTACAGTGATTCTTAAAAATGCTGTTTATTCAGAGTATGCCAGTAGCAGCTCCTTCAGAGCTACCAAGAGCCATTATTTAAATGCAGACTATGTGCCTGTACCTTCTTAAACTACGACTTAGATAACTGCTTTAGCATAAGGAGATACCAAGCAAGTCCCAGTGCAACTTTGGTAATGACCAAATTTTCCATGATGAGTGTGAACAGTTCCCTTAACCATAATATCACAGACTGCATTAACGAATGTCTCCTGGAGTGCTGTGATGAGCACACAACGGCTCCTTCCCTGGAGTTATACTATGTCAGGATGCAGCTGCTGCAATTCTGGGTACAGGTCTATGTCCTCACACTACCTCCAAAATGGCTCGATTCCCTTTACAGAAAATAATCATTACTGGAAGAGTAGGGATTTTTTTTTTTTTTTTCTGCTAGTAAGAGTACAAATGTCCTCAAAACTATCTACATCTTTCAGGGAAGACAAACAGACACTATACACATTATTCTCTTAATGTTTTTGAAAGAGCTAGGCTGAAATATCTGTCAACAGGAGGGGCATCTGGGCTGTGTGAAATTCATGATGATATTAATTTAAAATTATCACTGTTCCATCCCTGATAGATATCTGGTTTCTGTCAGAATAATACAGCAACTCATCAGCTCAGAAACTCCTTTTTAAAGAGAAGTACCCAGAGTGCATGCAACAAACACCAACTCTTGTTTTCTACGTCCATCTCCAAATTAAGCAGTATTACCACTTACTGCATATAGAAGAAATGAAATGTGAAGAGCCTGTTAAAAAAAAACAAACCAAACTCTTTGCCTGTCACTGTGCTTCATGCTCTCTCAGAAACCTGGAGGGAGGAAGCCCAGCAGGGTGAGGTGACTTGACCAGAGGTAACAACAGTGGTTGGACTATAAATGCAATGAGCATTCTGTACCTGACTGGCCACTTCTGCAAGGTACTACCTAAGTGCAAAGAAACTTAGGAAATTATAAGGCTGAATATTAAGAAAAACTCTGGTAAATAATAAAAAAAAACCACACTTTTTTTTTTTTTTTTTCCCTATCATCTAAGTTACTTACACTGTTATTTCAGAAGCATAGCTGGAAGATAGTTAAAAGACATACCTGCACCAACATATGTCAATATACTTTTAACATTGTTTTTTACATGAACTAGTTTGTATTGAAAGCACCTAACTGAGTA